CTCCCACCTGGAGATGGAGACAGCTGGCAGCCTCTTCTGCTCTACCTTCAGCTGCTGCTGTCTGTATCACACTCCCCCACACTGAGTACTGCTCAGAGCCTGATCCTGCTAATGACTGGGTTGGTGCTGCTCTGCTGTCTGAGAAGAGGCTGGAGAGAGCAGAAAAAGGGATGGGACTGGGAGGAATGCTCACTGAAGGGTCCACAAGTGGGCACTTCTCCAGCTATTCAAGATCCCCAAAGTGGCAGCAGCTGGAGAGGCTACATTTTGCCTCCATGCTACACTCTCCCCAAACCTCGCTGAAAGGGCACAAGCTGCCACCTTCTTATTTCTTTCTTGACAAGTACAGAGCCAAGGTCTGCAGAAAAGGGGGAAAGAAGATTCCAATGCCAACAGATGCCCTGCCCATAACCAGGGACTGGAACTCTGAGTAGAAAGGTAAGTCACAAACACTTAAGCAAGAAGAATGCCATCTAACTAGATCTTCAAAGCAGAATTACGTTGCTATGTCCCCTACAGCTACCTAAAGAGAATGAGGAGACTATAGGGTTCATGGAGATAACAGTGAGAGCAGCAATAGACTTTATGTTCTTTAGCTGTAAAGATTAATTCCTTGATTAAAGATAATGGTTAAGATTCAGAAATCTGAACCTTAGGGAGCTATGCTTATTGCTGAATGCTCTAGGGCTTGCAGATTCAGGACATCAATGAATCTTACATGGGGGTCATACTTTACATTATCCTTCCCTGAAGGCATAGGATTCAGGATATAACTATGCTGATGCTAGAGCCAGGACTGGGAGTTCAGAGCCTGAAGGACACAGATTATTGTAGGATGCTCTGAGGACTGCAGTGAGAAAGAAAGTTTGTGTCAGTTGGAGCAAGTGCTTTATAAGCTACAATGGAAATTAACAGCTGGTTTTAAGTAAAGAAACTGTTAGGGTTCAGTTTGCAGTGAACTTGGGGATGGCACAAACCAAGCTTGCCACTTGAAGCTGCCTTCATTGCAGGGCTCTGCAGGGCCTGACAAGGTGGGGAAGTATAATATTATCTCTTTTCTTGAAAGTATGAGCCATTTGTTACAACTAAAATGAAGGTTAGAATGAGGATTAGCGTTGCCCGTAGAGTTTGGAACTGTAGATCTTGAAGAACAAATTGCTGCTGGCCATATTTGAAGTTACCTTATTTTCTGTTCTACTATAGGGCACATAGGGTATGACTGATGAGCATGAAGATCCATATTATTTACTATATGCTGCTGCCCAAGAACTTTAGGAGAGTGAGGTCCATAGGTATTCATAACATGGTAACAATTAGCTCAGGAATCCAAATATTGAGGAACCAGTATTGTTACTGCATGCTGCACAGCCCCTGATATCAAGAATACGGATTATGCCAATAAGGGACTGTTATTTATGGTGCGTTTTTTGTTGTC